AAAAAATTCCAGCTTGAAAAGACAGTTTATCAAACCGGATCAGAATTCCTTTTTATCATGCATACACATATTTCAATGTGCTTTTAACAAATGGTGAATGTGTAAATACTTTGCTGTTAACTATAATTTCTGTGATTATCATTTGAAAGTGGTATTCCTGTGATGGTATAAGGTGGCTTAATGGTTACTGGCATAGTAAGTAGAATCTCTGACCTGAGTTCAAATTCTAGCTGAATCTGTTTATTTTATACTGATGCCTTTGGAAAAAGAATGAATTTCCCTGTCCCTTCGTCAGATATCATCATAAAGATCTCACTAGAATATCATGATGCAAGAATGGTGCAGATAAATAATAGGTTGTTGGTTGCACTTTCTGCCTGATGTTTACTTGGAGAAGCAGTTGGACACTGGCAACTGACTGATTTTGCTGTAAAGATTTTCTGAAGGATCCTCTAGTGTAACCCAGAGATCTTCATGATGATCATACTAATCAACAGATTATTCTGTTTATCTAAACACTTTTTAGGATTAAGCATTTAACTGACATTCCAAGTTCAAATTCCAGCTGAGACACTTTGTGTTCACTTTGCAATAATGCTCTTAGGAGAGTCATGAATCCATCTCTTCTATCCCACTTCTCTTTTGCCAGGTATGGGTAAAATAACATGGCAGACGGGGCTGTCTAGCCTTGGTAGAGCAACCAGCTTAAGAGAACAACTACCCTCAATTCAAAACTCTGGAGAAGGCAATTGAAAATCACTGTTGTTTTTTTTTCCAAAAACAATCATGGCAATGTACAGTTTGCAGATATTAAAGTAAAAGAAACTGTAGAAAACTATAAATGCTAACATCCTGAAAGGCACTGGAGAAAGCAGAGGATTTGTTATGGGTTTTTAATGTTGAGAGTCTTCTAAATTAAGAGTAACACTGGATTTGAACTAGTATTGCCATTTTCATTGGTTTACTCACAATGTTGCGGTTTTTTACTTTTGCCCATTTCTCAGAAGGGTTTATGAGACTCTCTATATCAGCAGGGTGGAGGGGGTCTATGTGGTTCTTGATAACCCCCCATAGGGTTTACATGGCCCCTGATATTCTGTGGAGTGTGTTTATGTGACTCCTGATATCCTGGGTAGAGTTTACATGACTCCTGATATCCCAGGTCAGGTTTATAAAACAAATACATAAAAATTGTCATTCATTTTAATCCTTTAACTGCTAATTCTTTTGGGAAGAGAATGAAACAATAACTCTGTTTGTATATTAGAACCAAAAGTATTTGGATCCAGTGTTTATGTGCATGCATATATATATATATATATATATATAATGTTAAATTTTGCAGAAAATAAGACAAATTGGATAAAAAAGGCAAAAAACTTGCCCTGATAAAGTTGGATTGATGAAATGCGTCAGCAGTGACTAAGAAATATTTTCCAATTGTGTTTTGTATTCATCCATATATATATATATATATATATATATATATATACACACCCACTCTCACACACACGTTTCTGCATTTCTTTCTGTTGTCTACATTTTACAACTACTTCACAACCATTAGTTTTACTCAATTTCTGCATTGACAAACTATGGTAATAAAAAAAATGAAAACTATGACATTTTTAAATTAAAATTTATTTGAGCAAGTTTTTACATTCAAACTGCATGTCACGTCTCGAAAATATGGACAAAAAAGATTTTCTGTGATTAGAAATACAGTAGACTTTAATGATGGGAAAGGATTATTATATAAATTGTGTAGATGCATTGCTAATAATTTTACTACAGAAATACATTACAATTAATTTCACTAAAGGGGAAAATGTAAATAATTTTATCATAGTAAATGATCATATGTGGTTAAAAATTAATTGCCATTGACAGACTAGGGCTGTTATTGTGAACTTCCTACAATTCAAAATATGTTGCAACATTAAATAACCAACAAAGGGTTGATAAGCTGTAAAAATAAAATCAATCAATAGTTGTTATGATCACAACATTTTATGATATACCCTCTGGTCTTCTTCAAGTATCTGTCATATTTTGGTATCATATGAAGAATTTTGAACAAAATACTTTATTCAATGCACTGGTGAAGTGTATGCAGTTTGTCTGATGGTGGTTGTGAATTCAATCCCCACATGAGGCAGTGACATTGATATAAAATGATTCAGTGAATTGAGTGCAAGTAGAATCACAGGGACAAATTAATTAATGATTTATGCCCCCTAATTATGGACAATTCAGTGGGGGCTACCCCTCCACCTCAGACATTGGATTACATAAAGGGATTTATTTTGAATTTCCTAGAAACTTATCAAAGCACCTGAAGAAAGCCAGAATGTCTAGCAGCCAAACTGTGAATAAAACAACCAAGATGAGAACATTGGTTTGACTAAATCTGTGTATAATGAGGATTATAATACCTAATAATAATAATAATATAACGGTAATACCTATTAATAAAAATAATAGAATAACAGTAATACTTACTAATAATAATAATATAATAATGATAGTACCTAATATGTCCAAATTCAGAAAATAGTTATAATCAATAATAAAAGATATTAATTAAAAACTAACATTTATTTGTTTATCATTTAATCTCTTCTGCTTTATCTTGTATTTTTTGCTGTATTTTTACAAAGAAAATAATCATCATTATTTATTGATAAAGAAAATCAGAAACATATCAAGATTGTTTTGAAAAATAAGTGTGACAGATTTGGTTTTGATGAAAGTATTTTGACAGATATGTTGAGATTTGAAGATGTGAGAAGTGCAAGATTTTAGATCAATCAGATAAAATTTGACCATCTTTTTACAAAGTGGCACAAATTGGCACCATGAAGTTTTTTTTTTTTTTTTTACATACTATTGTTCACCCAATACAACACCCAAGAACCACTCAGTTCTGAGGATTAAGCTGAGTGGAACTTCCTCTTTACAAATGGAATACGAAAGGAATGAGGATGAATTGACTTAGTATATGTAGCCTGACAGGTTTTAACTGAAGGTCTGAACAGGTGGATTGAAGGAATGTAGCTTGCCCAAATATCTGCCAGGAAAATAACAAAGTGGCAAGAGGTTTGTGTAGGAAATGAAGACGACTATATTCTTTGTCTTATGCTCCAAGTACAGATTTCACTTGCAGTATTTGCTTTAGCCTTAAGGTCTTTGGTTATGATGCGGCAGATGATATTCACTACATATATTCATACATCAGACTGTAATCAAAGGCCAAATAATAAGCTGTCACTTTCATCTAATTCATAAAAAATCTTTATTGCCTTCCTAAACTTGCTTTTTTTCTTGTTTTTTCTTGTTTATCATATACCATAAAACGACATTGTTGTGCTAGAATATTTGGTAGCTGGACCACCTTTCAATGAAAACTATCAATAAATTTTATCCTTAGTTGAAAGGAATCTCATTTGCAGACATTTCTTCTTTTGTATGCAAATACAATATAAGAAAGTGATGGAAGCTATGATGAAATATAACATGTTTTAGTCTTCCATTCAAATATCTTTCATACTTGTTTTCATTTATTTTTCTACCATTTTTCTCTTTCTTTGACTCAGTGAAGGTGAGATTGGCATGTCCATATCACAATGGCTAGATCAACCATCATCTTCTCTCTTATCAGGATTTCTATTGATACAGCCCGAGATTTAAAATCTGTGCATCGATAGCCAATACGCTTATCTACGAGGCCGCTGCCTTTTCTTTTTGCATAATTGTATTCATACACACACTGTTTGTGTGTGAAATTGAACTTGTGCAGTTGGTTTTTTTTTTATGTGTGTATGTTTAAACACATACAAGCATTTTAGTATATGTGTGTATATAAAGCACGTGACAAAACATTCGAAAAGTTTAATGTCTTTTTCGTTCTGATCTTTTTCTTTTATTTCTCTCTACTGCCACCAATTTATTAAAACTTTAGAAATTTAGCCACAAAAAAATTGAGAGAAATCAATAACTAAACATAAATTTTATTATTCATAACTTCTTTCATGACTAAACCTGGTGATAGGTTGAAGCTTTGAAATATATGATGTATATATTAAGTCATTCACACTATGAATCTGTATATCAGTGTGCTTCACATCATATCAAGACCACAGCTCAACAGGCATCGAGTTGGATCTGGTCAAGATCTAAAATAAAAAAGGTTAAATAAAACAATGCTCACAACACAATGCTACTTCCGGCATGAAACACATGTTTACCTTCCATTCTATGTCCTTGATAACAGTCGCTAGAAGAGATTTGTTTATCAGTTAATGATCAAAAGCAAACACTTTTAACACAATGCTGAAATTCTCAGTTGCAGTTATAAAAATGAATTGCAAGAGATGGAAACGTCTCCAAAAACAATACCCTGTCTGGTAGCAAAAGCTGCTGGTGGTACCAGGAGTGGCAGTACCACCTTAGCCACCGAAACTGCTTAACCTCCCCTAGTTGGCAGCTGACCAGGGCAGGGTATCAAACAGGCTTTCACACGTTGTATGTAGAAAACTTATATTAGCTTGTTTTTATATATGTGCCTAAAATAACTATTATTGTGCATGTAATATGCTCATTGTTGGATTTTCTGGAAAATTTTAGTTTTTTATAGATACAATTTTCATATGTTAAATAACAGATTTTGGCTTTGTCCACTTTACAAAATCTGACTAAATGACCAAATATTAAGTTTATTTCATTTTAGCACCCCCTTCATATACTGCTTACACAATTCCAAAAAAAATAAATAAAACTTTATTTTTGATTATAGCTCATGTTCCTGCAGTTTTAATTTCGATAAATGTGCTTGTTTATCTAAGAACATGTACAAATTGAATATGGTTTTTAATTTTTTTTTTTATGATTGACTAATTCCATTCCATTAAACACTGATGCATCTACACAACATTTTCAAAAAATAAAATCATGTCAATTTTTCACCTGTCTTGAAATACTATAGATCAAAATTCTTGAAGATGTTGTTGTATATATCCAGTCAGTTATGTCTGTACAAATCTCTCTGCATCTGGTCGGCTCTGTCCGTACCAGTCTCCCTGCATCTGGTCAGCTCTGTCCGTACCAGTCTCCCTGCATCTGGTCAGCTCTGTCCATACCAGTCTCCCTGCATCTGGTCAGCTCTGTCCGTACCAGTCTCCCTGCATCTGGTCGGCTCTGTCCGTACCAGTCTCCCTGCATCTGGTCAGCTCTGTGCATCTGGTCGGCTCTGTCCGTACCGGTCTCCCTGCATCTGGTCGGCTCTGGTCTCCCTGCATCTGGTCAGCTCTGTCCATACCAGTCTCCCATCTGGCATCTGGTCAGCTCTGTCCTGGTCGGCTCTGTCCATCAGTCTCCCTGCATCTGGTCAGCTCGGCTCTGTCTGCATCAGTCCTCGTCTCATCTGCAGTTCTGGTCAGCTCTGTCCGCATCGGTCTCTCCCCTGCATCTGGTCAGCTCTGTCCGTACCGGTCTCCCTGCATCTGGTCGGTCTCCCTGCATCTGGTCCTGTCCATCGGTCTCCCTGCATCTGGTCAGCTCTGTACCAGTCTCCCTGCATCTGGTCAGCTCTGTCCGTACCGGTCTCCCTGCATCTGGTCAGCTCTGTCCGTACCGGTCTCCCTGCATCTGGTCAGCTCTGTCCGTACCGGTCTCCCTGCATCTGGTCGGCTCTGTCCATACCGGTCTCTCTGCATCAGTCACTCGGCTTCATCTGTTCCAGTTCCTCTGCATCTAATTGATACTGTCTGTACCAGTCTCTCTGCCTATCTATCCTACAAGCTCATGCTCAACATATTTATCATTGCAAGAGTGTAGCACATTTATATGCTTAGTTATTAATTTGTATTTGTTTTTTTTTTTATCTTCATTGTATGTTCTTTTACTAAACAAGCATACTTTGTGTCCTTATTCAAAATGATGCAATTTCATATTAATTAATTTGAAATGGCCTACTTTTTTTTTTCCCCATGTCTGAGAAATGTTCTCCAATGAATCTAACTTTAATATTTTGCATTCAGTTTCATTCTTTCTTAAACTAATGTGCAGCATTATTTTTTCTTCAATTTTCTCATTTTCTATTTTTTCAAACTTATGAATAGATGCTGCTGATTAGTTTTAATATTTTTGAAAAATCAAATACAAAGATGCAAAATTACTCTCCTTTATTTTCTCTTATATTCATCTTTATTCTCTGATTTGTTATAAAATTATAGATTATCTTTGTTTTTCTAATATGTCTGTATTTTTCTGTTTTATCTATCTTAATTTCTTGCTTGTATATAAATATTATTATTTTCTTGAATCTTACAATGGTTGCTCTGAAAATTAAAGATTACTCTCAGTATCAGAAGCGGCTTTTGTGTGGATTGCAGTAGGTGCTGAACAATAACACATCATTTTTTTTATTTTTGCTTTGTTACAAATAATAGCTAAGTGATAGTTTAGCAAAATGGTGTCTGACATGAAAGTTTGTTTAGCAGAAGTTTATCATTGAATTGCACACTTTGGAAAACACTTATATTTATTGATGCTTACTGAATATTTACAGCCACCTAACAGTGGATGCAAGCATAGTTAATCATTAAATAGTGTGTTTCAACATTGTTCCCAATGAGATATCTTTAAAAATGGCTTGTCCATACTATCACTGATTTCTGCATGTATAGCAGGCTGTCTGTTTTATATGACTAGTGAAAATATATTACAGATGATGATGACTGGAAAAATGTTCTTTTGTAGCTGCAAACTTGCTTACTGTATCCCTGTTATTGCTTTCATGGAGATAAATATGAGGCATTACTTTTTGAGCTTTTCTTCTACAACAAAACAATTTTTCACACACTGTGATTTGATCTATACATTTACCTTGGATTAGGTGAGTGAGAATGTCAGTTTATCAAAGAATAAGTTAATTTTTTTTTTTTCCCTGGGATTCTTTGTTGCTTTTATTTCCAACAAAATTGCTGGCCAAGGTGCTTTTGAGAAAAGGCCAGAGCAAATATGAAAGGATATTCACAAAAATGCTATACCAGAGATCTTTTAAATGGTGCCGGGAAAATGGCGTTCTTTGTAGAGACCTTTTGACTTGGATTTAAAATATGCAGATCCATGAATAAGTAATTCCAGATGGATTATTCTGTACACTGCAGACTGCTTGCAATCTCATTTCAATATGATTTTTTAACATTTTTCCCCAGTTTTTCAAAGGTAATATTTTATTCTCCCCATTTGTATTCTTTGCTGCTTATTTCCCTTTTAATACATTGTAATGAATATTCTTTTAAGTTTAACCATCACCAACTATGTATGGAGCATGCAAGTTGTACAGCAAGAAATTCCTTGCTCCGACTTATTTGCAGCCTGCAAGAAACCCAAACTGTTTCTTTATTTTATTTTAGCAAATATGAAGTATTTAGAAATTTTAAACCATCATTACTATTAATCTCTAGAGTAGTGCTTCTCAAAATATTGTTGGTTGGTTTTGTTTTGTTATATCAACCTCAGTGGGTCATTTAATGCCAACAAAATTTTTTAAATAGATTCATAATGATAATTTGCTAAAAATGATGTGTCTGTATACATATATATTTGAACCATTTTTCAATTACTCATATTTTTTAGTACAATCCAACTTCATTTAGGAAATTTACAATCTTGGATGGTTTTATTTTTGTAAAAAAAATTTTTTTAAATTACTCACTTGGTAATATTTTGTTCACACTAAATCAAAATCTACACACTCTAACAGTATAGGTTTCACTGTAAATTTTAATTATTGCTGATAATAATTTTTTTTATTACAAACTATTTCTGGTATTAAAAGCTATTTTTACACAAGTTTGGGTGTCAACTATTTGCCCATAGCTGGGATGCTAACAGGTGCTATCACCCCGGGTCAAGGTGGACCTGGGAGCATCAGCAATTAAGAGGTGGTTCCACACTCCTCAAAACCTCCTGATCAGAGGCCTTGCTGTTAGACATAGTTTATCGTCTTACCCCGGACATGGATGAAGTTTATCGTCATACCCAGTACAGGCAAAATATTGTCACTGCATATACACACACACACACACACACATATATATATGGTGGTGGTGGTGGTGGTGGTGGTGGAGGTGTTGAGCACAGAAAAGTATGATTGGATTTGAAATCCCTTCATAAATGTTCTATCTAATATTTAACTTCATTTGTGTGAAGAAGAAGAATTAGCTACCATTTCTCGTGATTGAGGTCTCAAAATAAAACATTCAATGGTACCCATTGATACATTTTGGATTTCAATACAAAAGGAATATCCCACATTAGCTAAAAAGACTTTAGCAGTTTTATTTACTTCTTATTTATGTGAATTAGGCTCCTTAACCCTAAATAACATCAAAAATAAGAAGCTAGTAAGACTAGAAACAATGGAAGAAGAAATGAGAGTCTGTTTATCGCACATTCGACCAAACATTGAAAAAATTGCGAAAAAGCACAAGTTTTACACTAAATAGGCTACACAAATAGTTGAATAGAAACATTGAAATAAAGTAAGTTCATATTTTTTTTCTACTTTTTTAAAAATCTATGGTTTTATTTCATAACATATAAATGTATACCCATTAAAAAATTTTCTAAGTGTGCCATAACATTTTCATTTGCAACATGGTGTGCCATTGCTTAAAAAGGTTGAGAAACACTGCTCTACAGAAAGTCAATGACCTAAGTTTCTATCTACCCAGGTCAGCCATACTGTTTGAAGACTTCTATAGACAGTTTGGTGATCTGCCAAAATGAATGAAACTCTAAGAAGAAAAAAAAATCTATAATTTCCAGACTTTACTCACATTATTACATCTTAATAGGTCATAGTATATTGGTATAAAGCAATGTTTTTCAATCTTTTTTATATCAAAACACACTTGAACCTTTATTTTCATTAACCTGAGAGCTATCCCATAATCATGCAACAAATGCAGGAATCTGTCAAAAATATTTATTTGTGGAGCCAATCTATTATATAATAATTGTTAACCAACATTAGCAAAACTTTTTTACATTTGCGTGAGGCCACAAAGGCAGGGTATGCACTGTGGATCAAATTCATTGAAGTAGTAATGGCCTGTAAAATTAGCTTGCTGAACATTATTTTATATTCGTGCACCTTCTAACAGCGGATTAAATTTCCTTTTTAAAGTTTGGGTGTTAATAGCATAAATGCATCATCTTTTTAGACGTTCCTTTCTTGTAGGTCATCGAGTTGACTAACTTATATCAACTTTAACACCATAAATCAAGAGTTTTCTTGCCCAATATTTCCATCTTCCTTAGAATGTTGAAGAAAGAAAAACTACAAAGCACATTAAGTGTTAATCATGTAAATAGCAAACAGCCGATTAATACTTAGATATTTATTTTAATGATTTTTCTTCTTTTTTTTTTTGTTATTGTGTTTTGCTGAGAAAAAAATCATTGTAGAAGTAATTTCTTTCTGTTTTGCTCAGTTGTTTTTTTGTGTAATTTTTTCTTTTACACAAAAATTTTGTTTCTTTTAAAAACTTTGCCCTTCTTTCACAACTATCTAAACTTTAATTTGAATTGATTTATATTTCTATTCAGTATTATGCATTCTCTTCCTGTATATTTCCTTGTTTTCCTTCCGTTTTTATATATATATATATATATATATATATATATATACTCCAAAAGCGTCTATTTTTGTTTTTTGCTGAGTTCAGCTGAAGCTCATTACTTTTTGGAGAAGTATATTATACAAATTAATGATTAGTTTATGCAGGGGTGAGGAGAGTTGAAGACAGGTAGCAAATATAGAAGCAGACAGTAAGAAAAACTATCATCAATTACTGTGATTAAATTATACCGAATTCTTTCATCACACCAAAATATCGAATTAAACTTGGGTGCTAAGCATGTGGTTGTGTGTGACTATATATATATATATATATATATATATATATATATATATTTGTGGTCAAATATATATATATATATATATATATATATATATATATATATATATATATATGCACAGAATTAGAGGCACATACAATAAATTTCTGCTTTGCCCTTATACATGGATAGAACATTTTGCCATGAATATAAAAGTGAATAAGTGAAAATGCAATCTAATTATATATATTTACGCATGCACAAATACTTTTGATAAATTATTTCCTCTCTTGTGTAACTTGATAATTGCTTACCCATATTTAAATAAACAAATACAAACTACATTTTAACAACTATTTAATGCAGGATTTCAAGATTATTTTAAATTTTATTTTGTTTTTGTTTCAACATTTTCTTTGACATGAGATTTTGTTGGTACTGCCAGAAGATTATAATATTTTATAGAATTTCAGAATTTTAAAAAGTAGTACTAAATGATTGCAGGAACAAGAATATAATTATCTATAATTTTATATATATATATATATATATATATATATATATATATATATATATATATATATATATATATAAGGTAAAATGTATGACAAATTGGAAAAAGTTTTTTTGCAATATGTTTTGTCCTTTAGATAATGAAAAAACAATTTTTTTTTTTTAATTTTAAAAGTTAAAATTCCAAGCATCCCTCATTCATGTGCATTTGTAATGACCACCAACATAACAAATTTAGTCCAATGAGCTCCTCACAGACAAAACACATCACAAGAACACGTATTCCATTTTGTCATACATTTTCCCCAAATATTGTTCTTGATAATATAAAATTGTTATCTTATTTTTATATATATATATATATATATATATATATATATATATATATTTTTTTTCATTTCGTTTCATCTTTT